TTTTTTATTTTTTATGTTCTTCTAGACCTTAGATCTTATTTCTTTAATAAAATGAGCCTCTAATTACAATTATAATTGTACTCAACTCCATGTCTGATTTGTCCTTATCAATTTGAAAATTATCTAACTGTGCAAATATGATATTCATATTTACATTGAAAACTATAACTTTTATAGGTTTTTATAAAGAGAGTGATATTGATTCCTTACTGGATGAGTGCATTATAATGATGTCATTCAGTAACTTAAATTACCACTGATTGGTGTGTGTCTTGATCTTGGACCAGCTCCATACATTATCATGCCTTTTATGTCAAGAGGAAGTTTATTGTCTTACCTCAAGAAAGAGAGACCTAATCTTACAGTAGCTGATACCAGTGAAGGGGATATTATACTGAATGTCAGAAAACAGTTACTCTCCATTTGTTTACAAGTTGCTAATGGAATGTCTTACTTAGCTTCAGAGAGGTTCATTCATCGTGATCTTGCTGCTAGAAATTGCATGTAAGTCTTTATTATCCTACTCCAAATTTTTAACATCAATTTTAAGTAACTATATTATTGTCACCTTAATTTCATTAGTAATTAATTTTACAGAAACTATATAGGAAAAATTAATACAACAATAGTGGGAAATTTTTGAGGGAGTTAAATTTAGCATTTTGCTAGCCATTTCCCAAAATAAAAAATTGCCATTATGAGCCATGCTCAATGGCACGATGTCCACAAATTTGCCAATTGGCAAAATTTAGCAATTTGCCTAATTTTGCTTTCTCAAAATATTCCTGCTATATTTTAAGCAACTAAACAAGAATTCATCATAGATTACTGATTTGTACACATTTATGTATTTCATAGGATTGATGATAATGGTATTATTAAAGTAGCAGATTTTGGTCAATCTGAAGACATATATGCCTGCAATTACTTCAGGCAACTAAAGGGCAGTGATAATAACTCAGGATCATCAACAGTTAAACTACCAGTGAAATGGATGGCATTAGAGAGTCTTCATGATGGACTGTTCTCCGAAAAATCAAATGTTGTAAGTATTCATTTGCCATTACAATTTACATGCAATCACTGTCAATTTTATTTTTATTTACAGTGGTCTTATGGTGTTCTTTGTTGGGAAGTGTTCAGTCTTGGTAAGGTACCATATCCCGGTCTGGATCCAATAGGAGTAGTGGAGTTACTGGATACTGGAGGACGATTGCAATGTCCACATAATGGAGCCTGTTCTCAAGAAATGTAAGAACATCATAAACACTTTTATATTTTAGTTTATACATTCTTTAATGCAGTTACTTGGTGATGCTATCTTGTTGGTCTGAGTCTCCTAATGATAGGCCAGTGTTCAGTGATTTGGTTTCTTCAATAAATGCACTCATTGAACCATTGGCTGGCTACCTTGATTTTACTGACATTAATAATACTTGTACTGTAAAAGAATGTGATGTTTATGACTAGATCTATTAATGTATTTTTTGTAGAATGTCTCCTCCCCCCCCTCCTGAGTGTTTGTTTAGCTGCCATGCTAAAGCAATATTAATTATCTCAGAGCTAGCCTTGCCAGTCATGCTAGACTTTGCACTCTGTCGGGTCTGTCTTTGTTTACTATTCAATGTATACTGTAGTAA